CCTACTATTGTTCCTGTTCATACTACTGCTCTTGCTTCTGCTCTTACTCTTGCTCCACCTCCTAGTTCTATCTTCATTCCCTCTCACAGTGAGCCTCATGTATCTCTTGATTCCACTACATCATCTTCTACACTAGAGGTACCTCTTCATCATTCTACTCGGGTAACACAATCTTCTGTCCTTCTTCGTGATTTCATTGTTGGTTATACTATTTTTTCTTCTTATTAACCAACTTCATGTCTAGAGGCTTGCTCTAACCCTCTTTGGTAGCAAGTTATGACTAATGAACTGCATGTGTTAAATAAAACTCATACTTGGGATGTAGTTGACCTTCCACTTGGCAAGAGTGTTGTTAGTTGCAAATGTGTTTACAAGATCAAAACCCATTTTGATGGTTCCATTGAGCATTACAAAGCTCGTCTTGTTGCTCAGGGGTTTACTCAATAATATGAGATTGATTATAAGGAAACATTTGTTCCTGTTACCCATCTTACTTCAGTTTGCAGCCTCATTGCCGTTGTTGATGTTCACCATTGGAGTCTTTGTCAGATGGCTATTAAAAACACTTTTCTCAATGGTGATCTCACTGAGGAAGTTTACATGCAACCTCCTCGTGGTTCCTCAATTTCGTCCACCAAAGTTTGCAAACTTTGTTGTGCTTTGTATGGTTTGAAACAAGCTCCTCGTTCCTGGTTTACCAAGTTCAGTTCTACCATTCATGACTTTGGATTCTCCTTCAGTGCCTATGATTCTGCTCTATTCATATGTAAGACAGAGCATTGTATTATTCTTTTTCTTCTCTATGTGGATGATATGATCATCGCTGGAGATAACACAGTAGGTATCTTTAGTCTGAAATAGTTCCTCAGTCGCCAGTTTAAGATGGAAGTTTTGGGTTCGTTTAGCTACTTCCTTGGCTTGGAAATTTCTCAAGATTCTTCTGGTTACTTTCTCACCCAGACCAAGTATACCTTTGATCTCTTGGCTCATGCTGGTTTTATCGATTGCAAGACTACTCCTACCCTAGTTGATCCTCAAACTTGTCTCATACCTTTTGACAGTCACCTGTTGTTTAAAGCTACTTTATGTCATCAACTAGTTGGCAGTCTTGTCTATTTAATGATTACTCGTGCAGACATTGCCTATGCTATTCAAATTGTCAGTCAATTCATGGTTGCTCCTCGTTCTCCGCACTATGATGCTCTGGTTCACATTTTGCATTATCTCAAAAGCACTATGTTTCATGGTACTCACTACTCAGTACATTTTTCTCTACAGTTACACACATTTTCTAATGTAGATTGAACAAAGGATCCTACTGGCTGCCATTCTACTACAAGGTTCTGTTTCTTCTTGGGTGACTCTCTCATTGGCTGGCGTAACAAGAAGTAAACTCTTATTGCTCGTTCTAGTACTAAGGCTGAGTATCGTACTCTTACTAACACTACTCAAGAGTTTGTGTGGCTTCGTTGGCTTCTTTATGATATGGGAGTTTCTCATCCTGTTGTCACTAACCTCTATTGTGACAATTACAGTACTATTCAGATTGCACATAATGATATCTTCCATGATCGCACCAAGCATATTGAGATTGATTGTCACATCATACAACATGTTACTAATGGTATTGTTCGTCTTATCTTTGTTACATCTGTCGATCAGACAGCCGACATCTTCACTAAGGCTCATCCTCTAGGATACTTTTCCGACTTACTTTCCAAGCTCAAGTTGATATCTACATTAATTACCACCTTGAGCTTGAGGGGAGTTGTATATATCTACTACCATATTGTGCATTATCATGCTTAGTTTCTCATTCTCCTATATAAATGAGCCTTGTATTCACTCATATTATTTATTGAAATATATATTTTGTTTGGTTTAATTTTTTAAAGATTATTTTTTTTATTTTTTGTGTTTTTGTTTTTAATTTTTAGTAATTTTTAATATTTTAAGTAATTTCTTTTATACTTTTTAGATGCACCTAATTTAAATGTATTTAAAAAGTAAAATAATTATAAAAAATATTTAAAAAATCAATAAACCAGGATGCTCGGTCCGAGGATGGTCGAAACCAGACAGACCGAGAGACCGGCGCTCGGAAAGGCGCGGTCAGCCGAGGTAGTTGATTGACCGACGAGAAGGCCAACCTAAGGAGGAGCCCGGGCTAGGCTTTGCCGAGATGCCGCCTAGCCCGGTCCTTCATGTGTTTGTCCGGCTAGGCGCATGGGTTTGAAGCATGACATGGCTGAGGTAGAACAGCCCGGTTGCCGAGCTCCAGCTGTGAAGTCAGGCAGTTGAGGTTAGGTGGTGAATGACATGGTTTATGCTGACAGATGGGATAGCAGAGCCACGTGTCAGGAGATGACTGGGAGTGGATATGGGGCTCAGAAGGTATAAAAGCATGCCCGCGCCCCCCCATACGCAACACGAACATCTCTATAAGAAATCCTTACATTAAAACACTCTCTCCCTTCTCTCTATTCCCTCTAAGGTGTGTGCTAACTTGACCGTCGGAGGGTTTTTCCGGCCACACACCGCCAGGTAGCTCACCGTTATTTGCTCGCAGGTGATCGGATATCGACGGAGCTCGGAAGAAAGGAATACGGGCACGCCGGAATATTTGCTCCCCGTACAACTGTCTAATACAATATTGGTTGGTGGGTCTTCACAGATTCTTCTTACAGTTGTGAAATCAAGTGGCAAGTATGGAGACAGAGTTGACATGAGCATGGCCATGTACTATTCAGAACTGATGCAAAGGTATGACAATGCTAAACATAGGATTACTTCATCTATTCAAGCCCTGAAATTTACTTTGATTCTAATAGTTTCTTTCCCCTCTCATTTTCTTTAATAATTAACATCCTTAATGGCAAAAACAATCTTTTGAGGAGGAACCAAACTTTGTTGCTTGCTGTAGCTGTTCAAAATAAAGATTGACAAAATGGGAAAGAAAAAAAAAAAGGTTTAAAAATAATTTTTTGGAAAAAAAGTTCAATCCGCAAACCGCCCGCAACATTCCGCACATCCGCGAACCCTATCCGCACAAACCGCAAACCGCATTGCGGACGGTTGCGGGTTGACTTTTCCCCAAACCGCATAGATGCGGGCGAGTCCAAACCGAACCGCAAACAATCCTAAACCGAACCGCGGACACCCCTAATATTAATATAATAGGTCTCACTGAACCAACTGATTCAGTGGTATCCCTCTCTCCCTCTACTTTGAACTGAGGCTTTGTTTGGCATAAGGTTTTTTTAGTTATTTTAATCATAAAAAAAAATAAAATAAGTCAATAGGACAAAATGTTACATATAAGCCATAATAATTCATTTTTTTCTCACAAAAGTCAAAAAAGTCAAAAAGTCAATCATAAACAAGGCTTTTTAGCTCCAGGCTAAAATAAGGCCAAGTTTGGCAAGTTGAAAAAAAGTCAAAAAGTCAAAAAATTACTTAAAAAGTTAAAAAGTTATCACTATTCACCAAAAGTCAAAAATTACGGTTGCACAACTCTCAATCATAATTTTCTCCTACACACTAATTTATACAATTTTTTAATATACTTTTTTCCATAAAAAGTCAAAAAGTTAATCCAAATATCCATATTTTTTTCCTTAATTTTTTAGTCTAAAAAGACAAAAAGTACACTTATTTAGGACACCCCAAACAACCCCTAACTAAAAAAATAAAAAGATAACTCACATCTCAAATGAAGGCTAAGATTCTCATATAGATCCGTCCAAGTTCAAAGGTTTGTTGTCTACTTTCCACGAGTATTTTTTACAACTTCATCCATATTTTTCCATATCACCTACAAAAGTTAAAAAGTCAAAAAATCATTAAAAAAAAAAAATCATACTATTCATCTTATTTTTGGCGAGAAATCTATCGGATAAAAAAAAAAAAAAAAAAAACAAAACAGCGTTGCACAAACTGTGCAGCCACACATTCCAACAAAATTTAAAAAAAAAAAAAAAAAAAAAGAAAAGAAAAGAAAAGGTGGCACAATGTAAGCCACAAATTTCCATGAAAAAAAATAAAAATTGAAATGCATGGAAAGTCAATGCAGTGTTGCTGACGGTGACAGGAAGGGCAATTTGGTAATTTTGAAATTTGCTATAATATTTTGTTATATATTTTTTTTGTATAAAGTCAAAAACTTTTCCTAAGCATACATTTTTTTTAACTTTTTTTTTTTAAAAAAACTTTTTTAGTAAAAAAATCAAAAAGTACACTTATATAAATCATTCCAAACAATCATATAGTTTTGATACATAAAATGATAGGGATGACTCCTCTCCATACCACTATTCTCTATGTTTCACCATACTCTATTTTATGGGTTTCATTTGAGGCTAACAACCATAATTTAAACCGTTTATCTTGTAAATTTTATTGTAAAAACTGTCGGTAAAAAAAAGTAGCTTCATTATATATCACTAAACACGTGAACAAATTATATTTTATTTTTTAAAATAGACAATTATGAATTTAAACTTAAAATTATCCATTTTATAAAATAAAATATAATTTTTGGTCTATTAATCAATATCTAATGAAATTGATTTTTTATACAAACATTTTTTACTACAAGATTTACAATATGAATTTTTGGATTATCGTTGTGAATCCGGAATGAGTCCCATAAAAGAGAATATAGTGAAATCCGAATAGTAGTATGATGAAGGGCCATTCCCTAAAAGGATCAAAATTATGCTATAAATGCAGCTTTCTTTTTTTTTTTTTTTTCATCTTTTCTTTTGTCTAGATATAGCCATAAGTGTTTGATTTGCATACATCAAGGTAGCGTTTAGAATAATTTTCAAATCATGATTTTATTTTTAAATCATAATTTGAATAAAACATGTTAATCAAATATATGTTTAAAATATAATTCAAAATTACTTTCAAAACTCATCACTTATCTTTTATTATTATTATTATTATTATTATTATTGCATTCTCTCACATTCTCTTACATTTTATATATTTAAAAAAAAAAAAATTACAAATCATCCTAAAACTGTTTTCAAAACTTATAACCAGACAAATTTTTTCTTTATCATAATTCAAAAACTTAAAATTTAAAATACAACTCCACACTTAAATTATTATTCTAAAACTAGTCAAACGGACCCCAAACTTTTTTTTTATTAAGTTTTTTGACTAGATCACCGTGGAATCTATGCATGATTGGATGATGCATCCTCGTGTTGCCACGTGGCAATCCCATTTCTTTGGCTGACTTTGATCTTCAAATCCTCTATGAATTGATCGAAATTTCTTTGGGACGACCCATCAGAGGCCAATGCATCCTCTAGTACCTTCCTCATTTTCTTGATCTCCTTCCTTATCTGGTCCGATGTTTTTCCACACATCAGACGGTTAATCTTCTCCGCAACCTCCTCTCTTGTGATTGATCTTTCGTCACATAGATTAATCCCAACCTTCCAATCATCCACCACTAATTTTCGATTAGTGAATTGATCGGTCAACAAAGGAAAACAAATCAACGGAACACTACACCATACACTTTCTAATATCGAATTCCATCCACAGTGCGTTAAAAACCCTCCGATCGCTGAATGAGAGATCACATCAATCTGACAGCACCACGGCACGATCACTCCCCGGCCTTTGACATTTTCTTCAAATCCAACGGGTAAGAAATCAAGATCCTCGGAGCTCACGATATCAGGCCGAATCACCCAAACAAAACTCACCCCACTACGCAAAAGCCCATGAGCTATCTCCAAAATGTCATGCTTGCTAGTGTGAGCATAGCTACCAAATGAGATGTACAAAACTGACCCATGAGGCTTGGTGTCGAGCCAATGGGTGCAATCTGACTCGGACCACAGGCTCATAGCCACGGTGCTCTTGGTGAACCCAGTTGGGAAAATGGGCCCAATTGCATAAGTTGGCTTCTTCTGATTTAGGGCTGAGATTGTTTCTGGTTCAAGCTCTTGGATTGTGTTGCAGACAATCACATCTGCTCTCTTCGTGTCCTCAAATGCCTTGTAGATTATCCGGTGCACCACGGTCCCTATATCGGTGGCCTGAAGATATGACATCAGGTCCGTTGGTTTGATGGACCGCACTCCAGGTATGTAATCTATTGTGTCCTCACGCTTATCTGCTCAATTATAGAATTTAACCATATTATAACATGAATGAACTCACAATAATTATATTCTATTGTAATCTATTTTTTTGGATAAATTATAATGGCAATTGCTAAAAACTGGAATAAACTCACAATAATTATAAAGAGGTGGAGGTATAAGATTTAGTTGCATAATCTAATATATAAATTGCTTGTATTTCCATGATGTTGTAATTATTTTGTATTCATACTATTTTTTTTGCAATTCTTCCTAAATTACACTGGTAGTATATATATTTTCGTTTTTGTATTATTTTATTTGATAATTTTAATTGGTTCAATTTTAATCTTAAATTTATGATTAAACCACCTATTGTAACATTTTTTTTTTTTTCTGATTCATCCACCTTGCAAGGTTAATACTCTTAAATGATTGATGGCGAAGTAGTATGGTGAGAAAAGGGTAACAAGAATCCCATATATGTATATTATGTGGGTGTTTGGAAAGTGAATTTTTTTGTAAGTTTTTTTAGCTATAGGATATTATTGGAGAATTTTTTTTTTGTGTTTGGGAAGATAGTTGAATTTTTTTGTAATTGAATGTGATGCTTGTGAGACAAAAAGTGAAATAATTATGGGGTTTAATGTGATATTTTGTTTGAATTTTTTTTTTATTTTGTAACAAATTTGTCTTTTAGTGAAAAAAAAAATAAAAAAAAAAACTCAAAAAATTTGTTTCCAAACAGGGCCGTATGACCTTGGGTTGCGTACACATCTGGATAAACACAATACGTATTCGAACAAGTTGGCCACCACTTTAAAATTTACAAGATGATTACATAGTGTAGGCAAATTTGTCCAGAACTGTTGATTTGGACCGGATAAGAGGAGACTGTTGATTTATATATGACCTTGTTTGAAGATACAATGCACTGGTCCTACTAGGTTTAATAAGTCATTATCCATTCAAATGGTTCCCTCAACTTATTAATAAAATTTTAACATATATCAAGGAAGGATTTGGATGATGCTGTGCTTAAAAGGTGCAGGAGGCCGTTGTGCTATTTTATGGAGGTTTATCTTGAATCTCTTTTAATAATTTGAATTGTTTATATTATAGAGTTTGTTGAGTAGATAATTTATGTAAAAAATCAAATTGATTAGATATTCACAACTCTATAACAAAACACTTCTTTTTTTTTTTAAATATAATTTTGAATTTTGTTTTTTAAAAATTAGGACATAATCACAGGATTAAGAATATTCAATTAATTTGATTTTTTTTACATGGATAATATTCTTGATAAACTGTATAATATGAACGATTCAGATCATCCAAAAGAGACTCAGAATGATACTCTACAAAAAGAAACGGCATGTTGCTATACCTTCAATGCATAGCTGAGCCTTCGGTCCCGCAAGGAAACAATCTCAATTAATGCTAGGAATATTAAATTTTTTATCAAATAAATGACCAAATGTCTCCCATAATAAAAAAATTAGAACCTATAATATTTTCTCAAAAAAATCTCAATCATAATCATTACCAATAAAAATGTGCAACACAACGTAATTTTGTATCAATAAATTTCTAAACAACATTGAAATAAACCTATTTATAATTGAAATGTCAATAGAATTTTTGTGCCATGTGAAAAAATATGTTCAAAAATATCTTTAAATATCCTTATTTTGTAATTATTTAATTAGTAATTACTTTTAAATTTCAACATCAATAATCATAACTTCTAATACGACAATGCTACGTAGCTCAAATTTTGTGGCTCAAAAGTGATTTAAATGGCCAAAACGACGTTGTTTTGAGTACAAAACAACATAAAAATGGCCATTTGAGCTACTTTTGAGCCACAAAATTTGAGTTACAAGACATTTTCCCTTCTAATAATGGGTTTCCATGGGAGTACAAGATTTCGACATGAGTAACCAAATTTTTTATCAAATAAATGACCAAATGTCTTACATGAGTATAGATATGAGTATAGGTGTGGGGTCCACACCTCACACGCATATAAGACATTTAATCATTTGTTTAATAAAAAATTTGGAGCCTACAACACTTTCCTTTCGACATTGATTCTTTTACAAATGAGTTATACTCTATGAAAGAGAGTTGTGCTCAATTTAAAAATATTTAATTAAATTGATAACTGAGATTAGTGTACTTGGTATTGTGTTGAGTATAAATTTATGTCGACAAGGAATTTTTCAATTTTTTATCAATGTGCAAAAAAAAAAAGTTATATAATCCTCTTTTAGTCCATTTTTTTAGCAACAAAATTAGACATTTAGTAATGAATTATTATCTTTTTGGGATCAAGTTATTTTGTCTTTAAAAATACATTTATTAGCGATATTTTCAAAATTTTGTACTAAAAACTCATTTTTTAACTTTTTGAAATAACTTTTTACTGACTGTCCTTGCGACAACTTAAATTAGTCCCTAATGTTTTTTGCAATGAAAATTATATTTTTAGAGACAAAAAAAATTAGTCCCTAAAACTTTTATATATTATAGTCAATACATATAAATTGTCCCCTCTGGCCACGTTTGATTTGTGGATTAGAAAGTAGGATTACATTAAATAATCTCACATTTGGTTCAAAATTTCTAACTCAGGATAATTAATTGGGAAAATAACAATTCAATGTATACTTGTAAAAATAATTTCAAATCAATGGAAAACTATACAAATTTTAATTACTAAAATTATAAAACTTTTTCATGAAACAATAATTATTTTAAAAAGATTTAACCGATGTGTAATTTTTCCTAATTAATTCCTGGGGACTTTTATCCTACATGTGTCAGAGTGTTCTGTCTAGAGAGAGGGGGTGTGACAACTTGTTTTAGCATAACATTTTTGTGGTAAATTTTCAAAAGGATCTTGCTACATCCCCTAAAATTTTTCCCCCTAATCCCCCTAATTTTCATATCAAGTAAAAAAAAAAAAAAAAAAAAAAAAAAAAATAAAAAAATAAAAGGAAAAAGTTGCCCAAAATAGAAATTAGGAGGATTAGGGGGGAAAATTTTAGGGCTCTAAATCATTTTCCTTTTCAAAATTACCATCCCCAGAATAAGTTATTCTAAAATAACTACCTCATCTAATCTTTTTATTTTTGGTAAATCAAACATAATCTTTATAATACTTGTGTGTCACTATATCATTTGTCATATTTGTATCATGTCATCTTGAGTTCATATTAGAATTTTTCCAACACTTAGGAGCCGTTTGGTAACACTTACGTTTTCAATTTTCTGTTTATATTTACAAAAATTTAAAAAACTCAAATAAAAACTTATTTGGTAAATTTTTTTATTTGTAAATTAGTTGTCTCAATTTATAAATTTGGCCAAAAAATGAAAACATAAAAAATGTGTTTCCATTTTGAGTTTTCAGTTTTTTTTTTTTTTTTACCCCCCAACACTAGCCACCACCCGCCACCATTTTCCACCACCACCACCCACCTCCCACCACCACTCACCACCTACCTGCCACCACCAGCCACCCACTCGCCACCACCCACCTGCTACCCACTCGCCACCACCACCCACCATCCACCTGCCATCCACCCGTCACTACCATCCACCGCCCGCCACCACCACCCGTTACCTACTTGCCATCACCACTCACTACCCATCACCCACCACCATCTACCACCTGCCACAACTAGCCACCCACCACCACCAGCCACTTGCCACCCACCTGTCGCCACCACCCACCACCCGCCACTACCATCCACCACCTGCCACCTACTTGCCACCACCACTAACCACCCATCT